TGAGGATGCTATTTGAAATCCTGACATAATGAATGAATGAATGAATGAATGAATGAATGAATGAATGAATGAATGAATGAATGAATGAATGAATGGAATGAATGGAATGAATGGAATGAATGGAATGAATGAATGAATGACTCAGGGTCGCTATGAACATATTCTTGGGTTATCTAAAGCTTACCTTGTGTAGGTGTATGCATGAATACAGAGAGAGAGAGGAGCAAACACACACCATTTTTTTAAAAAAATGCTGGAAAATGCTAAAAAGTGTTGGGGGAGATAATTAATTATCTGTGATTAATAATTGAAATAAGCAGCAATGAAGGGAACTGAAGTTAGGAAAACCAGCTCATCTTGCTAACATGCGCCCTGAAGCCATCTTCCTAACTGTAATAAGCTTACTTCTAAGAAGAACTGGATAAAACCGTCAAATATACTTTCCAATTCCTTTATAATAGGTTTTCTGCTTCTGGGATTGTACAAACAGAATATGCAGCGAAAAGGTCCATATTTACTTTGAAAGTTCTACCATATCAGCTTGGTGGACCAGTTTCCTTTCTGCCAGTTGGGAAGGGAAGACTGTAGTCATCAACTCTTCAAGCAGAATGGTAGTATTGTATTTTCCAGCTTTCAGATACTGGAAGGAACCAAACATTCATAATTATATCACCTTGATATATTTTACACATATTTACAGATATATCTTACATATTTTAGTCTCACAAAGTACATCTTTTGTAGAATGGAAGTTTGAAAGCATTCAGCCCGGTCCCCGTTCACTGAGTTCCTCTTCTGGACTTAGCCAGTTTTAAGAGCAGAGGGTTTTTTTCAAAATCCAGTTTTGAGTTGCACAAAAATGAAATTCTCTTTCAACATTGTATTTTTCCGAAGAATAAAACCTTGGCTCAGTGACAACATTTGCCAAAACTTTATTCTGAAAATCCCACTCTTAGCACCTGTCAATATTTAATATTCACTATCTGATGCTTGATGCAAAATTAGTTTTGTACTAATTATAGCTATTACCTGACAATAATTAATACATCTATTTGATTTAGCACTTGGTAAGTGCTTGGTAAGAGCCTAATGTTTTTATGAGATAGTCAAAACTACTATGGCTAACTTGCTGCCAGGTGACTCTAGGTGGCTTACAACATCAAGATAAAACCATAAATATATATACAAATGTATAAAATCACAATACAGTTGTAGTAAAAATAGAAATTGTTGTAACATTGTAAATGTAATGTTATAATGTTGTAAAAGTACCTGCCAGGAGAACTGCTTTCATACACATCAGAAACACTGAGACTCTTATCTTAATCAAGGCCACTTTTATTACCCCAAAAAATTCCATTCAATAGTGAAAGTCAAGGCTGAAAAATATGCCAACCTACAAATCCAAAATCTGCAAATGCTGCCTAATTTAATATTCTTCAGGTGCATTGGAATGACAGAACTGGTTTATCATCTCCTTTTTTGTGCCTACGTAAAGAAAAGCACCTAGCAGTTGGAAGCAAACAAGAGAAAATTGTCCCTCTTACCTCTTGCAGGCTTTGCTTGCAAAGTGGACAGTTGGGTCGGTGGTCTAAGCAACGCTCCATACACTCTTTGCAGAAGGTGTGGCCACAGGGTGTGGTGACAGGTTCATACAACATACTGAGGAGAAAAAGACTATCTTTTATTGGGCACTGACATGTTTATTATTAGCGAGCCACTTAAGTATGGGATTGATGGCCTGTCTATTAGGTGGTTGGAAAGAATGCAAGAGATGCTCATCAACCAATGTTCTACCTCAAACTGAAGTAAGGTATCAATGGGATGTCACAGAGTTTGGCTGTGGGCCCTGTACTCTTGCACATTTTCATTAATGACCTGAATGGAAACAATGCTTATTACATTTACAGGCTATCCAAATCAGGATGGGAATGTCAATACCCAACAAGAAAGCAGTACATTTCTGAACAATCTTAAGAGGTTAGAGAAATGAATGGAAAATGGCAGCATAACATTTAACAGAGGCAAGGGTTGAGTTTTTCACTTAGATCTCAAATGCATAGGTGTAGCATGGGTTATTACCTAGCTTGGTAATGATACTTGCAAAATGATGGTGAAGGTAAAGGTAAAGGTTCCCCTCATACATACAGTATGTGCTAGTCATTCCCGACTCTAGGGGGCAGTGCTCATCTCTGTTTCAAAGCTGAAGAGCCAGCGCTGTCCGAAGACATCTCTATGGTCATGTGGCGAAGATGCACGGAATGCTGTTACCTTCCCACCAAAGGTGGTTCCTTTTTTTCTACTTGCATTTTTAAGTGCTTTCGAACTGCTAGGTTGGCAGAAGCTGGAACAAGTAATGGGAGCTCACCCTGTTACCTGGCGCTAGGGATTCAAACCGCCGAACCGTCAATCTTTCTGATCGACAAGCCAAGTATCTTAGCCACTGAGCCACCGCGGCCCTCAAATATTATGACTACAAGCTACATATGAATTAGTACTTTGACTGAGGGGTAAAACAGGAAGCTTCGGTTCAAAATGACAGAAGATCCCTGCTCTGATCAGAGTCCATTTCAAAGGCAGTCTCCAATTCATGGCACCTGATTTAAGATAAAATGAAAACAATTCAGAGAAGATCAATAAGGAGGATCTGGCATGTAGTAACGAAGTTCTAGGAAAAGAAAGTGAGGAACCTGAACATACTTAGTTTGAAAGAAAATTATGACCAGAGGAAAATATTATCGTATGTCTCGGCAACCTTCAGAAGAATGATTTGTATTCCACTATCCCAGAGAACAGAAGATGGAATAATTAGATAAATGGCAAGAAGAAAGATTCTGGTTGAATACTATATTAAGAGTAAAACCAATAGCAAGATAATGGGCCCCTTTTTGCAGGACAGTCATAGATGCTTTTTATTTGTATTTTTGTATTATTCAAAAATATCATTAATATCATTAATATCATTAAGTCATGATATTGACTTAATAGTATTGATTTCTTATCCTTTTCTTATCCTTTTCAGGCCACAGAGCCTGTTAGTTGAAATTATTGTGTTGTTATTATTCCTGGAATCCCATATCTAAAGGCAAAGATCTAGCAATAAAGTAACTGCATTTGAGTGAACTTTGTTCTCATGGAATCTCATCAAATTATTGCTGAGCCCAAGTATTTTGCAGAAGAGAGTTTTAAAACCCCAGTCCGTATAGTCCATTCCAATTGCATCATAATTCAGTAATATAAAGGAAAATATGCTGCATTCTTGGGAAACATATGATTGTATAACATAATAATCAGTTCACAGGATCAGAAGGAAAAATATTACAAAGGTGGACAGCTTTCTAAACAGCCACCAGCAAGTTCCTGTGTTAACTTGAGATAAATGCCCTGTTCCTAATTCACAACAGAGAACTTGGAAAGAAATTGAAAAAGTCTCCACCACAATGTAAAGTAAGATAAATCGGCTCTAAAGTGAAAAGTGTTGAGTGCTCTAAATCTTTTCTTTCAATACATCCTGTTAAAGACTTTGTGAATCTTTCTTGAAGATTTACTTTTAACTGAATCAGCTGCCAAGAATCTAACTCTAAGATTCCTAAGACACCTTGGGTTATAACTACTTGTTCAACAGCCATTCAAAGTTATAATGGTGCTGAACAAGGGGGACTTACAACCAGTCCACAAAATTGTGGCTGTTGCAGGCCTGGCTCACAATTATGATATTGTCAGACCTGGAAACCATCTTTTACATTGGGCCTTTAGACCTGCCACATTTTCTACTGTGGGAAAATGGAAGGGAGGATTATATGGAGTATGAGAGATATATAGTCAAAATAACATTCTTTTCTAAGAGAGTCAAGGACACCTTGCCCTACAGCTGCGATGATGTAACTGGGAGGCACCTCCAGTTTTGGATGGTGCCTGATTGGATCATGTGATGGACATGTGAGTGCTGGGCAGGGACTTGAACTTTCACTTGGATGGGGAAAACCTGGAAACATTCAGATTCGGGTTTTCCCAGATGTGCCAGTATGATGTCTCTAATAAAATGGAACTTTGAGGAACTTCAAGCCTCGGAGTCTTATTTTGTGGGGGTGTTATTTGGAACCCTGACAGATATTGCAGTGAGCCGTGGTCACGTGATTGCAATTTCCAATGCTAACATTAAAATACTACAATTCTTATATGAAGAGAAACATTATTCTATAATTTCTCAATTTTTTTTCCCAATATCAGCCCCCAAATTGGTCACTCCAATTCCATCACACTGGACCATTGTATGATATAGCCAGTGTTTCTATTTTCCACATAAAAATATATATTCTGCAAAAGAGATCGGATTCTATTAAGGTTAACTGCCAAAGGGCCCTCCTTCCTTCCTTTCTTTGAAATATCCATCTTCAAATGAAACAAATTTCAGTTCATTACAAAGTAGTATCACTCTGCAAAAAGTATTACACTGGCACACTGAAACTGGATAACAATTTCAGGGGTCAAAGATGTCCTCTATTAGGTTTTGCCCGGACTTATTTTTCAGGCACTCCATCTCTTTATTGTATTGAATACTGTCATGACATTCTAACCCAGTTGTAATTTTTGTTCATAGCCTTTCCACAGTAAATGTTCAGGCGCTGAGGTCTACATCGCCGTTGAATATCTTATAGTCCCTCCTCTGCATTTCAGACCAGGCAGCATTTCTTTGCCCCTTGCCTCAAGGTTTTTCTCACCACTGAGGAGAGGATTTAAATGGCAAGAACTACATCAAAGCAGAGATGGGGGTTTTGCAAGCAAGTTCATTTTGTCTTCTAGCAAACATTCATGATATGAGATCGCTAATCTTCATGGTTGGGCTAAACTTATATAAAGCATGCCTCAATGTTTAACTCTTTAGATTGTTAAAATTATTATTTTAAATTCTAATGCTAAGCTGTACTTCTAACAAAAACTTTGGTCTGTAATCATCACTATTTTCTCCTTTTTTTAAAACAGTGAAAAAAGATGTTCTCATATCATATCTTGCAGTAGTGTACAGAGTGTCTCATTTCTGACTGTTAAAAACCTGAGCATGCTTTTTTGCACATCATTAGCAAGCAGTCCTATAATATATATGGGTTTTTAGTACATGTAAGAATATACAGATTATGAATATATATTTTTTCTATTCACAAAAAAATATAATTTTGAACAGTATTTTGAATAGATGTACCGTATTTTTTGGAGTATAAGATGCACCTTTTCCCCTCAAAAAAGAGACTAAAAATCTGGGTGCGTCTTATATACTGAATACAGAATATTTTGCCTCCCAAAACCCCACCCCCTTCACCAAAATGGCCGTGCATAGCTTTTAGAAGGCTTTCAGAGCTTCTGGGGGCTATGAAATGAGCAAAAAACTGCCCGTTTCCCCTCCCCCCGTCCCCAGCAGCACTCTATAGGCTTCCTAAAGGCTATCCATGCCCTTTTTTTGACAAAAACAGGCCCGTTTTCAGAAAAAAAGGGTCATTTTTTGCTCATTTTTGCCCCCCCCTCCCCCAGAGCACTCTACAAGCCTCCTAAGGGCTATTCATGCCCCCCCTTTTTTGAAAAAAACGGGCCCATTTTCACGAAAAACGGGCCATTTTGGAGAGGTTTGCAGAGTGCAAAAACTTTTTTTAAAAATTTTCCTCTTCAAAACCTTGCTGCATCTTATATTCCGGTGCATCTTATACTCTGAAAAATACGGTATTTAAAATACCAAGAGGAAGTGCAAACATGTTTCAAAACCTTTTCTTTACTCTTAAACAAATAAGGCAGAAGTTGATCCCCATGGCTTTTTCAGAAGTCCACTGGCTAGAACATGGGTGTTAAACTCGTGGCGTCACATTGCCATCACTTGACATATCATGATGTTTTTTCCCTTCGTAGAACTGGGGTGGGTGTGACCCGTGCGTGGCTACCAATTTGACACTCCCTGGACTAGAACGATAAGAAGATACCTCATGCTCAATTTGCATAGTATTTCAAAACCCCTTCCCCAGCAGCTCTTAACAGAATAGCAGAGTTGGAAGAAACCTTGGAGGTCTTCTCGTCCAACTCCCTGCTCAAGCAGGAAACCCTATTCCATTTCAGACAAATGGTTGTCCAATCTCTTCTTAAAAACTTCCAGTGTTGGAGCATTCACAACTTCTGGAGGCAAGTTTCTCCACTGATTAATTGTTGTAACTGTCAAGAAACTTCTCCTAAGTTCTAGGGTGCTTTTCTCCTTGATTGTTCCTAGGCAGCTAATTAACTGACCGTATACAAAGGGAACATTCCAGGTCTGATGTAGTCAAGAAGCCTATGAAGTCTGGACAATAGTCTGTCATAGATTTTGTATCTGTTGATCTAGTTCCTGAAGTCTCTGGTGAGGCCTCCTCTTCCTCCAAATCTGGTTCACAAAAGGAAAGTCAGATTATGAACATTACACACCAACCACCTTCTCACTGAACCCCACTAGTCATTTTTATCACTTGTTTTAGGGGGGGGGGGAGTTTGTCAAAGAACTGGGTAGACCAAGTCACATATTTGCAAGAAGCTACTTTGTAGGGTACACCTCCCCCTTAAGACCAAGGATCTATTATGGTGTCATGCCAAGGGTAATTGGTTTCACATGAACACTGGCCACTTATATCTATTTGGGGCTCTATTCATAAAGCCCAGACATGTTACTTTAAGTATATAATCCCTTTCAGAGATTAAAGAAAGAAGAATCTTTCAGCCACTGCCTTCATCTTTTATATGCACTCCTGTCTCCCAGTAAAATCCAAAAAAAATTCCAATTAGACTGTAAATCAAAACTGGAAATAATTGTCCAACAACAAAAGAAATCGAGCCATTAAACCCTATTTGGGATACCACTTTGTGCAGGTTCAGATGGATATTATTATATTTATCTCCAGTTGGGTCCCCACACCACTAGAAAGATCCAGTATATACAGAAGCAGGACTCTTCTGTAAATCATGCTGGACTGAGTGTGATGTAGCTAATTTTAACATTAACCTGGGCTGCCCTTCTCTACCCTATCATTTGATCCGCAATAAAACAGTGCAATCTAATCAGGGCCCTATTGATATACAACATGCATGATTCCTTGGGACTTGTGATGGAATTTGGTCTTGAGAACAGTCACATGATTCTAGGGTTTGGGGAACATGCTCAAAGTATCTACTTAAGGTGATCCTGGTGGGTTGTGTGATCAAATGACAGAGCAAGGTTTTCAAGCACATGGGCAAAATATTTGATCATAATTAGGGCATCAATGATTTCTCCTAGGCAGAGACAAGAAACTTATTTTTAAAAAACATGGACTTGTAAACATTTATTGATATACTCACCTTCTTTATTTGCAGAAAGATCTGATCTGAACTTCTTCCTCTTCCATTGAGTCATGGGAAGTGCTGCCTGGCTATGATCAGCCATAGTTTCTTCCAGCGAATTTTCTTTTTGTGTCTTCATATCCCATTTAATAAAGGAAAGTAAGATGTTAAATATCAAATCAGGGGTCACAAGCATAGATAGGAAAACAAAAATACAACACTACATATAGTATTCCCAAGCTTTATTTTACTCATGCACAGATACTATTTCTTGATACAGTTACATAATATGACACCTTCTCTAGATACTGTTTTCTGTTTCGAACGAAGCATGACCATACCTAAGAAGGAAATGGTATAAAACCTGAATCAAATGTCTTACACTAGAAATTCTCAGATATCTACTGGTCCACATACTCTACCCAAACATAAAGTAGCTTTAATCACTCCACAAGATCAATGGAGTCATAAAGAGTACATGACAGAAACATCTGTCAAATGGACAATTTGGGCCTGATGTGCTAGCTGAACGTGAAGTTCCTAAACTTTCTAAAGTTTAGTTTTATTTACAACTGGAAAATTGTACAAAACCAGATAAATAACTTACATGTCATTTGGATTAAGAAGTTGCAGTATATGTTTTATCAAACCACCAATGGTTAAAACTTTAATAATTTAGAACATAGGCTTGCAGGTTTTGAGCCTTCTCTACATTATAATCATTTTGATTTAAAATTCAGAGGATTGTAAATTGTGGTCTGAGAAATGAGGGCAAAATATATGAATGTGATATTGAATGACAGCCTGAAAACCTGGAACCTATCAAAATATGAAGAACTAGGATCTGATGCTGTTGCCTATTTGAATGTTCTAATCTCCATTAACTTTATTTTTAAACTGTGTTGTTCCTTTGTTGTTGTGGTATTGTTTTTTCTACATTTTAATTATTTCCTGATTTACGTTCGCTTTGCTTTTTGTACTATAATGCAGTGGTCCCCAACCCCCGGTCCGCGGACCGGTGCCGGGCCGTGGAGTACCTGGCACCGGGCCGCGCAGCGGCCGGGGGCCATGATCGCTGCAGCGGCCGGGGGCCATATTTGCAACTTTGTAGTCCTCATGAATGCGCCCTTTCTCTGCCCCCCCGCCGCCCCAGATGTGTGGGGCTGGGGGGGCTGGGGGGGCGAGGGGAGGCCCGATCTCCCCCCCCCGCCCTCTTGCTCTGCTCGCCCCGGGAGGGGGGGGGCGGCGGCGGCGGCCTC